AGACCATCATTCTCCTCTACTGCTTCGCGCACTTCATCCAGGCGTTCCGGACAGCTACAAATTCAGAAGAAATGATTTTAAAAAGGCATTAAAGGCCGGCTTGGCAAAATTCGTTTCCCAGTTTTTCTTTTTTTGGGAACTTCTCGCCATGAGGACCCCATATCTGGGCTTTTCCGCGCATGAAAATGGATGAGCCTTTTTCCATGCTTTTCAGATCCGCATTCAATGCAGATACGCCAGAAGTACTCCGTGCCCTGCCTCTTTCCTTTCGAGTTCCCCCACTTAGCGTATTTTGCACTGAACGCGGACCCGGAAAACTTTAAAAAAGCTCATTTTTGCCATTTTTATGCGCGGAAAAGCCCGGATAGGAGATGGTTCCTCATGGAGAAGTTCTCGAAAAGCTGAAAAACTGGAAAACGAAATTATGTCGAGCCAGTTAAATTGCACACCACAAGATGTGTAGCACTCACCATGCAGAAACCGTATTTAGCAAAGCGTAAAGTGTTTCCAGAGCATTATTGAGTAAATCTATATTGCTCTGTTTCAATGCACTACAAAGTGCAGGTATTGCATTATCTTGTAGTAGAGTAAGAATCTGCTCAGCTGTGCCTCCCTGCGCCAAATTTGCCACAGCCCATGAAGCTTCGAACTGACATTTGAAGTCACCCTAAAAAGAGATTTGGCAATGTTTTTCACTTCCGACATATGTGGATGCTGTGGAACTCACAGATTTCAAAACTTCAATAATGAATGGCATGATTCCTGCGTCGATGACTGCTTGGATTTGGCTATTGGTTCCAGCAATGATATTAGAAATTAGCCAGCAGCATTCCTTGACAACGGTGGTAGATTTCGAACGCTCGGAGAGTGGGATGATTTCGTCCAATGTATTGAGATCCACAACACACTTAAAGAGCAGTAAAAATTAACCAAAATAAAGAAGATGTGATGAAAAAAAGGAACACTGCGTTGTTTATAAACCCTTTCTAATTACAAAGTCACCCACCTGTGTTAGTTCATCATTACCGGTACTCATGTTTCCAAGCACACGCAAAGCTGGAGCAACCATTGCATCCGTATCTCTCAGGAATTCAAGCACATACGGTAGCACCCCTATAGACATCTTTATTTGATCCTTGCCATGCAGACTTGATAAGAAGAAAAAATGTACCGCTAGTCTGCGCAAGAGTGATTTGCTCATCCGGTCCGTCTGTCAGGTAAGATACAGCCCAACAAGCATCCTGCCTCACTTGTTTGTCCTGCAACTCGTA